ACAAACCACTTGGGATTATTTACTATAAAAAATTTTAATGCCATCCACGACGTTATAATTACTCTGGTTATAGAAATTCAGAAAATTTTTCGGTTTTAAAGTTTTGTTGGTTGTTTGGTATGACATTTTCCCATATAAATGTCGTCAATCAATCGCTACAATCAACATGGATCTACACAAAAATGTTGAAAAAATGCTGCACATTCTTGGAAGAATATAGAAAGTAAATACAGAATTAAAAGTGAAATACAAAAGCGCTTTCTAAACTGTAAAGGAATTGTCTAGAAATTGAACCAATGTTCCGCGTCACAACAAAAGTTCGATGCGTTAAGGTGAAACTCCCCGAGACAAGAATATAACTACACTCCCCCGCCCCCCACAAAATAAACACAGATTGCGGGAAAACCCGACATAGCCGAACTGTTTAACCTAACCCTGCTAAACTTAACAATAATTAAATAAATTAGAAAATCAGTAAGAGGTTAATCAGAAAGAGGTTGTATATTGTGCAGTAATCCGTAATCCTTTCACTGATTAGAAAGTGGCTACACTTTTTTTTATTTGAAACTTTATCAAAGATCGCAACTTACAAGAATTATATCCAATTATATGGATAGCTTTACGAATATTATTGACTTTACCGTTATATTGACTGTAACGTTTACTAGTGGGGAGAGGAATTTCATAAGTTTAAGTTGATAAAAACCTATTTGAGACTAAAACATAATCTCACTCAAGGTTGACTTTGACAATCAAAAATGAAATTAAGCTATTTTGATAATCAAAAATGAAATCGACATTGATTTTTTTGTTTGGGTTTGAATAGTAAACGTTAGACTGTACCGTTATATTGACATATAACGGCACAGTCGATATTATTCGTAATGCCATAAAAATCTCATATCAAGGACGCCGGTTGTGCGAAAACCTTTTATAAATGTTACTCATTGTTTATAATAAATGAGTACACCACACGAATAACCAATTACCATGTATATATAAATAATACAATGTTTTAAACAATGTTATAAAAAGAAATTAAACTTCAGAAATAAAACTAATGAATATATATTTACACGTCTATAATACAAACCTAAAAGAAAGTCATAAAAAATATGTCATATATAAACTTTTCATGTATTACAAAAATAAAAAATCAAATATATTGCATCATTAAAATGATTTCATCCAAAGTGTTGTTGCTTTCTTTTTCTTTCAATTTTCTTTCTACAAACAAATGATAATAAAAATTTTGAGCAAAAAGATTTAATGATAGATTTTCCTCCCTTCATGCAATGTTAAAACAAACTAATGTTTGTTAGACGTCATGAGTAAAGTTTTTTAAGTTAACTTTCCTGTTTAGAAAGTTAACTTAAAAACAAATTAATGTTTGTTAGACGTCATGAGTAAAGTTTTTTAACTTTCCTGTTTAGAAAGTTAACTTAAAAACAAATTAATGTTTGTTAGACGTCATGAGTAAAGTTTTTTAACTTTCCTGTTTAGAAAGTTAACTTAAAAACAAATTAATGTTTGTTAGACGTCATGAGTAAAGTTTTTTAACTTTCCTGTTTAGAAAGTTAACTTAAAAACAAATTAATGTTTGTTAGACGTCATGAGTAAAGTTTTTTAACTTTCCTGTTTAGAAAGTTAACTTAAAAACAAATTAATGTTTGTTAGACGTCATGAGTAAAGTTTTTTAACTTTCCTGTTTAGAAAGTTAACTTAAAAACAAATTAATGTTTGTTAGACGTCATGAGTAAAGTTTTTTAACTTTCCTGTTTAGAAAGTTAACTTAAAAACAAATTAATGTTTGTTAGACGTCATGAGTAAAGTTTTTTAACTTTCCTGTTTAGAAAGTTAACTTAAAAACAAATTAATGTTTGTTAGACGTCATGAGTAAAGTTTTTTAACTTTCCTGTTTAGAAAGTTAACTTAAAAACAAATTAATGTTTGTTAGACGTCATGAGTAAAGTTTTTTAACTTTCCTGTTTAGAAAGTTAACTTAAAAACAAATTAATGTTTGTTAGACGTCATGAGTAAAGTTTTTTAACTTTCCTGTTTAGAAAGTTAATTTAAAAACAAATTAATGTTTGTTAGACGTCATGAGTAAAGTTTTTTAACTTTCCTGTTTAGAAAGTTAACTTAAAAACAAATTAATGTTTGTTAGACGTCATGAGTAAAGTTTTTTAACTTTCCTGTTTAGAAAGTTAACTTAAAAACAAATTAATGTTTGTTAGACGTCATGAGTAAAGTTTTTTAACTTTCCTGTTTAGAAAGTTAACTTAAAAACAAATTAATGTTTGTTAGACGTCATGAGTAAAGTTTTTTAACTTTCCTGTTTAGAAAGTTAACTTAAAAACAAATTAATGTTTGTTAGACGTCATGAGTAAAGTTTTTTAACTTTCCTGTTTAGAAAGTTAACTTAAAAACAAATTAATGTTTGTTAGACGTCATGAGTAAAGTTTTTTAACTTTCCTGTTTAGAAAGTTAACTTAAAAACAAATTAATGTTTGTTAGACGTCATGAGTAAAGTTTTTTAACTTTCCTGTTTAGAAAGTTAACTTAAAAACAAATTAATGTTTGTTAGACGTCATGAGTAAAGTTTTTTAACTTTCCTGTTTAGAAAGTTAACTTAAAAACAAATTAATGTTTGTTAGACGTCATGAGTAAAGTTTTTTAACTTTCCTGTTTAGAAAGTTAACTTAAAAACAAATTAATGTTTGTTAGACGTCATGAGTAAAGTTTTTTAACTTTCCTGTTTAGAAAGTTAACTTAAAAACAAATTAATGTTTGTTAGACGTCATGAGTAAAGTTTTTTAACTTTCCTGTTTAGAAAGTTAACTTAAAAACAAATTAATGTTTGTTAGACGTCATGAGTAAAGTTTTTTAACTTTCCTGTTTAGAAAGTTAACTTAAAAACAAATTAATGTTTGTTTTTCAGTTAACTTTCTAAACAGGAAATTTTTCAGAAAGATTATTTTTTGCAGCTGGCCAAGTTGTCATTTGGACTCGAACCTATCTTACAACAACAATATAGAAAATCTTGTCTACATTACACTGAAGTATCTTAAAGTGAATTTATTTATTTGTGTGTGTGTATATATATATATATATATATATATATATATATATATATATATATATATATAATTTTATTTGTATATATATATATAAGCACATCGGTAATATGAGCATACAAAAAGATTTCTAAGATGTAAACGGTAAGTTAAAGTTGCTTTAAATTTTTAAAAACGACTATATGTAGTGATAACAGGAATCAGTATAATTAGCCTAAATTTAGATGCAGTAATTAGAGGGCTCTTATCTAATTAAAACTCAATTAAATTTCTTGCGTTGTTAAAATATTATCATCACACATGAATATATCTGTGACGTGAAACTTTAATGCTAAAATAATGAACTTTAACTTTTCATAAAGAAAATTATGTTTGCTAAAAATCGGTTTCATTTTTGTTTGTAAAGCAATGCATAGAAACATTTAGTTTTGACTTTATTTAAAGATACTATTTTTGTGTAATATGAGCATGCTCAAACTTAATGTTTTTCATTGAAATTACCTAGTTTAAAGTCGTAAAATTGCATTGGTTTTAATTTCTTTTTGAATAAAAACAAAACATTGTAAAATTTTTGAAGTAAAATATCTTTCTGTAACTTAAATTCAAAAAATTCGTTATTGCATCTTTAAAAAGTTTGAGTTAATAAAGTTAAAAAAATAACTTTTTTTTGTGCAGAAAATCAAAAATTAGTTCTAATTGTCAGGATGATGTTTTTCTACTTAATGTTACTTTTTTAAGATAATTTAAAGTGCTCATATTACTATGTGGTCTGGGTAGTATGAGCAATTTTGCTACTTTTTTAAAACCTCTGTGTTTTTAAGAAACAATTTTGGGTGCTCAAATACCTATGTGGATCATGAGTAGTGATCCCTAGAAATTGTTTATACGCAAAAATTTTAGATCCAGCATAATTATTTTTGAAACTATATTAATTTTGCTTAAAGTGCTCATAATACCCTATATATATATGTATATATATACACACACATATATAAATATGCAAACACACACACACACATACATACATATATACCAGTGACGAATCTAGGGGGATGGAGGGGGGTGAGATTCCTACCCCCTCCTTCCACAGCAATCGACAAATGTTTTTTTTCAGTTTTGGTATCAACCATCCCCCCTCACCAAAAAACTCTGGATCCGTCACTGATATACACACACATATATCCACATATTCCATCACTCCTCTAATTTGAAGGATGATAGTATCATGTATCAAGTCATAGGATTCCTGAAATATGCGCAAAAAGCTAAATTAAAAAAGTAAAACAACTACTATTTGTTTCTTTTTATATTTATTTTCATCCATCAGCAAACTCTAACTTTGCTTTTTTCCACCTATAACTATCCATTATCATTGTCAACTGTAACTTGGCATAGAGACATAGAGACACACGAGTTCACATGAGTTTTGTAGACTTTTTAGAGACACATGCGTTTTGTAGACATTTTAGTTAGAATCCCTATATTTCTTCAAGTTGACAAAATATAGTGATCTAGTCATGGCCAACCAGTTTTATGCTGAAGCATTAGAGATACCACTTTAATATGACATAACTTATCAAATATAGATTATTTAAAATGTAGAAAACAAGCTATTCCTATAATATCTCTTATCTAATAGAATACCTAATAAACATTCTTGTAATAGAAAACAAGACATAATAATGCTATACTAGATAAACATACAAAATAATTCATGTTGAAAAACCACGCTTAAGTCCAATAAGTTTATTAATTTCCCTAATAAGCTTAGTCTTATTTAAGCTTTTAATTTTTTGGTAGTCAGAGAATAAATATTAAAACAGATTTTTAATTATTAAAAAATTGTTTTTAAATATATTTTTTACTTTATCAAGGAAAACTGCGGTTATTTCAAAAAAAAAAAAAGAGAAAAATAAAACTTACAGTTAAAAATTATTTTGATTATTTTGACGCCTGATATAATTTCTATTGTGTCGATGATGTCGACGATAGTTGCGGTAATAATGATTATATGGATTATAAGGATAGTTATTTGGAATAATATTTGGAACAACATTTGGAATAATAGGAATATTTGGAACAATATTTGGAACAATAGGAATGTTTGGAAAAATATTTGGAACAACATTAGGAACAATAGGAATATTTGGTTGCGACGTCGGAACAGGTCGTACTTCAATAGAGGGACCAACTGTAATTTTTGAAACATGTGAGTTACCTGCAATTCAAAATAAAAACTGCTCCTACATATAAATCACTAACAAAAAAAAAATTAAAACAAAAAAAAGATATATTAAAAAAAATTAAAACCACTAAAAACAGTTTTTACACCAAAAATATAAATTATTTTATTCATTCTTGTTATTAATTGTTTATATTTTAGTTTAACACTTTTCTTAAAACTATTAAAAAAAGAAAAATTAGATTTATAAAATAAGAAAACACAAAAACCTATTAAAAAACCTAGGATAAAACCAATTCAATATTAAAATGGACTAAATACATTAATTACATCCAGTAATTTTCATCCGTTCCTTCTCAGCTTCTTGCTTTATTTCAAAAACTGCCCTATCATCGTCTTCCTTAAAAAAAAAAAAGAGAAAATTTTATCTCAAATGATTATAAAAATACTTATGCGAATTAGCATCCTATTTGTTTTAAATCACATCCTATTTGTTTTAAAAGTAAAAAACAACTAAAAAATTCAGTTTAACTTACAGTAGGATCTGTCCATAAACTACATTTCTTGCACTGAGTGCCTAAAAAAATTAAAGTAAAAAATTCTAAAACATGTTCCATTTTATATATAATATGTTATTATTAACTATAATAATTAATAATTTTATTATTATTTCTTTTTGATACAGAACCAACGATACAGATACAGATTCCAGATGTTCATCGAGCATTATTTTTATAGCAGTAAAAGAGTAAACTTCTCAAGTCAGAACAAAGTATTTAATCAAAAAAATTTTAAGAACATACTCCCCTCCAATCTCTATGCAGATGGTTAAAATTTAAAACCAATGAACTGTTTTTTATTTATTTTTTTTTTTTTTCAAATTACAAATATTTAGATCAAGAAATGATTATGAGAATGATTGTGCAATTACAAATGATTTTGCAATTAATTGTGCAATTACAAATGCAATTACAAATGAATACAATACAAGAATAACAAAATATAAACAATTAAAAACTTTAACTTTAAAAAAACAAAAATTTATTTAAAAAATATGTCAATAAATAAATAATATGTTTATAAATAAATTTTATTACACTTTTTTTTTAAACTATTTTACTCTCAACTTCAAGCAACTATTATTTAAACGTGGAAATAAATGTGAAGATTATTTGGAGATTAATGTGGAGTTGCCAGAAAATTGTTAGAGACAACAGCTGACAAAAATCTCAAAAAAAATTTAAATTGTATGAGTTGGGAAAGCGAGACAGCAGAGAATTATGCAACAATGTAGGAAGAAACAAAAAACAAAAAGAAATGAGAAGGACACATTAAGAGTGTTGCCATTAGTTTATATTGGATTATCAACCGTAATAATTATCAACAGTAAACAACTTTTGCATTACAATTTACCAGCCATTATATTTTTCATTATAAATTACCAGCCATTACAATTTGCATTATAATTTACTAAGCTGTCATAGAAGTGAGGTCACACTCAAGATCATCTCCCTATTCTAAGCAATCAAAAAGTGAAAATGTTTTGCCAAAACTCAAGTTAACAGATGTTTTATTAGCATATAGAGTCACTGTTGGTATAAAATTGTAAGGAACATCATTAATATAGATGAAAAACAATACAGAACTAGTAAATGACCGGGGCCCTGGCCCCGGCTAAAAAGACTTTTTTCAAACCCAGCCTTGGCTAAACTATAAGATTTAGCAGAAAAACTGTAAACACTAAAATATCTGGAAGTGAAACAAGCAAATAATTATATTATTTACTTATTTTTACTTATATATATATATATATATATATATATATATATATATATATATATATATATATATATATATATATATATTTATATATACATATGTTTTTTTTCTTACTTGGGTAGTAGTAATTAGTGCGATAATAGGGTGAGTCTGAAGTAGAAATATGAGATAAAAGATTTATAGAGATCATTGCATGGTCAGAACCACCTAAAAAAGAATAAGGATAACTGAACACAAGATAGGGCAAAACACAAGACACAAATCAAGGAGTGAATGGATAGGGCTATCTGTAAAACAAGTCACAAAGTTAACTATCACAAAATTAACTATTTTAGTAAGAGATTGAAAAAGACAAAGCTTAGAGCTTTAATTTTGGCAGGATCAGAATGTAGTCGAGCCAGATGATCAAGTCACCACCAACAACAATATTGGATGATAAATAAAGAAAAGGGTGTCAATTTGATAAGAAATAACATCAAAAAGAGTGTAGTTTTTGAGAAGAAGAACAATAATGAACAAAGACGATTGAGTGAAAAAGTGTTAAAAATAGAAGCACGTAAAAGAATGGTCAAAGAAACTTGATTTCATGACAAATAGATGAATTGAAAGTATATGCCCAGGCCAAACATGCAACTGGAGTCTTTGTAAACAAAAAGATATCATCAACACTGATGTAGCCATATGTGGTCACAATAATACACACCAAAACTACTAATTAAAACATGTTCAATAATAATACTCTGATATTTTACACCTGTTGATGTTCTCAATCTGTTTGATAGTTATCAAAGAAATGTTTCAGGGTTGCTGCACTTTTTTTGAATTATAAAATTAGAAGAATTTAGATTTTTTAGGTTTTTTAAATACTAGGATATTTTAGGATTTATAAGGAGGCGTGACCTGAAGAAAGTTGACCACCCTTGTGTTTTTACCATCAGAACTATTAAACTAAGTTTTATAGCTATATTCTTATTACGAGATAACATGAAGAGTTGCAAGTTGCGACACTATCAAGAGTTGCATAGACACTATCAAGGTAAATATATACTAATTATTGATAATTTTCAAAATTACTGTTATTTTAAAAATTTTTCTTTAATGTTTTTTCGTTTTGTTTTACTAGATTCTTAAATAAAATGTTAATTTTTTTTTTTATCATTTAAATTGTTTTACCATATTCTTGGTGTCCTGGTATTTTATAATCATTTGGTTAAAATTTTGTTATAGCATTAAAAAATACTTTTATAGAATAGCATTATAATGCAAATGGTTTAAGGTGATTATTTAGAAATTTATTTGTTAAAATTCTTTTACAGCTTCTTAATATAAAAATAAAACAACAAATGATGAAAAATTCAATACTTATGAAAATTAAAGTAAAAATGGAAAAAAATTATTTAAGCAAATTCCTCACATTTTTGACCTGGCTCTCTCGCATGTTTACAAAAGTGTTCATAGTCGATCTATTATTTAAAAAAAAGTAAAATTATTTTGTTGGTCAGTGTATCACTTGGCCATATTATTTTAACATATTTTTTTTTTTAAATTAAACTTTTTTTTTAAAATAATTATGTTTATATGTAAACAAACCTTAGGCTCTCTGCATATGTAGCACATCGGTGATCCACATCTACATGTCATCTATTATGATATTAAAAATTATATAATATGAAAACTTTTTTAACTAAACATTAAGAATACTAAAAATTACAACTAGAACATTATATTTACAAATATAACTTGTGGTAGTTTATTACATTATCATCATACAGTAATGTGGTAGTGGTTTGATAATAGAGCGCTTGCTTCATAAGTGAAACGTTTTGAGTTCCCTACTATGCCCATGTTAGTACTGGGCTCAATTTGTTTTTCTATGCAGCAGGTTTGTGTTTCAATATTCAATACAAAAGAGTTGAAAGAGGGTTATAACCAATATTTAAAAAAAAAAATACCTTCTCTATTATAACTGCCCCCTCGCAATTAGTGAGATGAATAAAATTAAAAAAAAAAATTATGATAACTAATTTAATTAAATAATAATTACTAACTTTTAAGAAAAGAGAAAATCAATATTTTTCAGTGATTAAAATGAAACACTTTCTGTATATTAATAATAATAATAATAATAATAATAATAATAATAATAATAATAACAATAATAATAATAATAATAATAATAATAATAATAATTTTAATTTCTTTAATAATAGAAAAGAAAAATAATTAGGTACTAATTAAATTTAAAAATACACATTAATACTTAATTCTTGTTGGCATTAAAACACTGACAAAAATGCCACTGAATTGAAAGCACTGATGATGAAGTCATAAAAATTGCTGGTATCCAAGTCATGTTGGGTCTCAAATGAAGTGAAATTATATATAAATAATTATTATTTTTTCAAAATATTTTATTCATTATTTTATCAAAAATTTTTTAATAAAAATGTTTAAAATGAAAAATCTGTTAATAGATTTTTAAAATAAAAAAAATGCTAAACATATTTTTTGTTTTAAAAATCTGTTAATCCAGTGTTGTTATGAATGCATTTAGGTGAGAGTATTTTTTTAAATATTTGTTTTCTAGGACTTCTGCCCATGTGTTTTCTAGGACACTCTTCTGCCCATGTGTTTTCTAGGACACTCTTCTGCCCATGTGTATTGATTGATGTTAAGTGCTCAAACCAATAAATACAAAATTTATTTTGTTTTTATGTCAGTGTTTTGGAAATCTATTCCTAATCCATATCATCCAACCAATTCTATTTATAATCCATATTTATAATCCATATTATAATCCTCAAACTTTTTATGATTTAAATATTTAAATACATAAAAATATTAACAAGCAAATAACCAAGTATATAAATCCAAGTAGAAGTTTTAGTTGAATTTCATTTTTATCTGTATATAAAGCTTGATAATAAGTGTTTTGTATATATGTATATATATACACACACACATATATATATATATACTTTTATTTTATATGTATATGTATACATATATATACATATGTATACATACACACATAAATACACACATATATATACAGGGCTAAAATTAAGTGGATCGTGATATGCCTAATTTGAGATTTTTTTTCAAAAATAAGTTTTTTCTTAAAAAAAATATTTTTGTGATTTTTTTTTCTTTTCATTATTTATTATTTTTCTTTTCTAATTTAGCATTTTTTTTGGCCATTCTTAAAAGTATAGAATGCTTTTGTCAGAGATTTTTATCAGAGATTATAAAGTCTCAAGCTTTTAAAAAGACGTATGATCATTTGTTCATTTGATATTTTCATTCAACATAATTGAATTTTAACTACTTTAAATCTCTGCGTGGAACTCAATAATATGTTACTTCTATTTTAAAGTTAAATTTAGTGTAATTTACTTAAATAAATAAAGTACATCACAGTAAATTTACCTATAAACAAATCAAAACAGCCTGTTAAGTTACACAACTATTAAATTTATTTAATATCAAAGACATTAACTTGTAAAAGTTAACCATACAAATGTTTAACTTGTAAAAGTTAACCATAAAAATGTTTCTATTTGTATACAAAATATGTTCTTATTTGTTCTTAACACTCAAAAAACTTTTAACTAAAAATTATTTTAACAAGAAACTTCAAATAGAATATGAAAATATGCAATACTATTTTATTGATATTATTATTTTATTTATAGTGATATCAAGACTAAACATTTTCTATAAATGTGCAAGTTATTTTTAGGTATTTTTAGATTTTTTTTATGAAAAAAAAAAAAATCTATTCATACAAGAGAATTTTATTTTTATATTATAAAACTATTTTATTCAAATTATCTTTTGAATTTTGAAAATTTGAAATTAAAAAAATTTGAAAAATTTAAAAATATTTTAACACTGGCCGACAATAATTATAAATTATTAATTGAATAGAAACTGCAGTGACATCCATAATACCCAGTATCATAGCAAGGATCATTGCTGAAAGTCAAATATAGATCTAGTGACAATATACAATATAACAATATCAGATTTAGAATAAGAAAAACAATATCAGATTTAGAAGATAGTGCAAGTGAGGGAAGAAAGTTTTATTATATGGAACATTTTTAAATTAATTTTTTTTACTAGATAAATATTTTTTATTAAGGTATCGTTAGTTTCTGTTTCTTTAAAGTAGTTTAAAAAGTTAAAACATTCTGTTGCAAATATTAAATGAGTGATAAAAATTATATCATAAAAATTAAAATTTAAAAAAATAAATTATTCTTTATTATTATGTGTAATTATTATTTATTGTAGTTATATTAAAAAAATTTAATTAACAAAACTTAATTATTCTTTATAGCAGTTAAGGTGGTTCATCATCAAAAAATTTATTTTTTAAAAAAAATAACTTTAATAATTTCATTTGTAAACTTTAATAATTTCATTTGTAAAATAAACTTTAATAATTTCATTTGTAAAATAATTTTATTTGTATTATTTACATCAACTAATAAATTTTTTTTTTTTAATTTTAAAATTTTGTTAATTATTTTATGCATAATCAGCAAAAATAAGCACATTTTGATGAAAGATCTTAGCAAACCTAACAACTCAAAAAAAAAACAAGTTCATTTTGCATAAAATTTAACAAATGCTGTATACATACTATACTAGAGAATAAGTGAAAAAAAATAAAAAAACTAAAACTCATTTTTGTTTCATTTTGTTAAAATGTTGTTTTTTTTTTCTCAATAAAACAGTACAAATTTTTTTACATTATAATAAATGTACAAAAAAATAACAAACTGCTTCACTCATCTTTCAGAGAATGTTATTAGGAACATTTCCTGAAATTTTTCAAGCAAATTGATAAATATTAGGCCAAGTTATGATGTTTAAAGTGAAGAAAAAAGACAAAAAAATCAAAGTGTCATAAAAATCATTTATTTTCAAAAATAAACTATTGTTAAAAGATTCGCAGGCTATTGGATTGAGGATTGTTATCCTTTTCATAAAGTGATTTAAATTCTTTTTTTTAATAAAATACATTGCAACGTTTCTTTCTTCGTGATAAATTTATACTATTTCTCATTCATTTACTTTACAATATGAAAACTAAGACTTTAAAAAGATGAAAAACAATATAACTATAACACAGCAACTTCACTTTATCAAGCACACTATTTAACATTTTTATGTTGATGCCTGTAATGCAGTATAAAAATAGTTATATTTTACATAACAGGTTCAAATAATGATAACAATTTCAAAACCTCTCATAAAATAATCTTTCCAATGAACTAGATAGGTTTATAGTTGTTTTAATTTGGTAACTAAGGCATTGCTAAGAACTCATTTTTATATGCACCTAACTAAATAGTTAATTATTAAAAATTATATATAAAAAAAGGTAGAATTTTTTTCAAAAACCTTAAAAAAAAAATTCTATTAGATAAGATAATTTTTTTCTATTCACTTTTTTTTTGGTGATGAACCACCTTAAATAGTTAAATTGATAGTTTAAAAAGTAGAAACATTCTATTGTAAACATTAAACGAGCGATAAAAATTGTATACTAAAAAATTTAAATTAAAAAAAATTAATTATTTTACTTCTGTTCAAAATATTTTTATTCAAAGAAAAAAAAAATGTAACCATATACTTAAACTTATGGAAATATAATTCAAAACCAATACTAAACCAAATTTTTTCTTTAACTTTATTTTTTTGGAAAACAATTTGAACAAAAAAAAATTGAATTAAAACATCAACTTAGAAACTTGTTGAATAAAAAAATTATTCATAAATAAATTTTCAATAGATCAAGAAGCAATAAATTAGAATTGGTATCTATAAGTTTAGTAATATTTTGAGTTTTTTAATTTTTTTCTTTTTTCTTTTTGATTTAATCTGACTTGTTCGGTCTATAGATAAAACATTTTTTTGCACATATTTCAAGTTTAAAGTTTTATGATGATAATGTCTTAATTTATTATCATTTGTTTTATTTTAAACACATTTTATGTTTATTTTTATAAACTGTATAAAACAGCAATAAAACAACATGGCGAAGTTGTTTAATATTAACACATATTTTTTATATATTGATAAAACAACTTCGCAGTATTGTTTTAATGTGGTTTTATATAGCTTTTACAATAACAATTTAACATGCTTTAATAAAAAAACATGTTTTATAGTCAGAATAAACAGGGTATTAAAAAGTTTTACTGTTGTTTTATAGCTTTTGACAATAACAATTTAATACATTTAAAAAAAAGAAGCATAAAAGGGTTAAACAGTTTTTTTATAATAACTTACCTTTTTAAGTATCATGTTAAAAAAAATTTACTAAAAGTAACATAGTAATAATATTAAATACACTTGTATATTACAGCTTAGGCTGTAAATTATAACAGTTAAGCTATTTTTAAACCCACTAAACAAGAATATTATAAGATTTTATTTAAATATGGGAGATATTATGTTAAAAAAAATACTAATGTCATAGATCATCCAAACCATATTTTAAAATCCAGAAAATTGATTGGGGAAAATATTGATTGGGGAAAAGATTTTCCTCTTAATTTTCCTTTTAGATGAGTTGTTGCTAATTTTTTAACTTCTGTTAGTTTTGTATGAGTGATGAATAAAAAAGTTTAAAAGACAAATATAATCATCTATTCATCTATTAGACTGGAGCTGATGTATTTATAATAGAATGTTTCCGGTTTAGGATGTTGAATGATGGATCTTCTTGACTCGATGCATGGTTTTTGCTTGTGTCTCTGTTTTTATGATATGACAACTCATTCTATTAATTCTTAATGAGGGTACAGCTCCAAAACTCAGTTCTATCGTTCTGAGTGTGACTGGTATTTAGGTTTCCCAAACTCTGTGGTAACTCTCCAGAGAGCTACCACAGAGTTTGGGAAACCTAATTTCATCAACAGCTGTAAAATATCAGAGTACTAACAGTGCCATGTTGCTAATGGATGGTGTCCCTGTTCGTTCTTTTAGACACTATTCAACAGCCCAATTGCTTGGGCTGTTGAATAGTGTACTGATTACTATCTATGTTTTGAGCTAAGTTCTTTAACAAATTTAAAAATGACTAGTACCAAAAACTATAAAACACAAAAAATTATTATCATCACCAAGTTTTCTTAACTTATCATTCACTAACATTTGTGGTCATCAAAGTAACTTTTCTTCTGTTTAGTCTTATCTCTTGCAAAGTTCACCAGACCTACTTGCTCTTTGTGAGCCTAATTTGATTTTGGCTGTCGCATCTTGTGATCTCAGTGTTGATGGTTATCTGCATCTCAAGAATGCACTATTTTCGATGTTATTTCTGTTCAAATTGACCAGAATTGACCATTGGTAACTTTAATGCTCATCACACTTAATTGGTTGGCTCTAGTGCCAGTGACTCTGCAGACGTTAAGGCCCACAACTTTTACCTTTCTCAATCTTTAACTGAAATAGTCAACTTTCCAACTTGCTTTCTAGACAACCCGGATCATTTACCTTCTTTACTCAACTTATGTCTTGCTTCTAATGTTAGTCAGAGCTCAGTTTCTCCACATTCACCCTTAGACACTTCTGATCACGATTTAATCTCTCTAAAACTATTATCACATTCTTCTTCATCATCAGATCCCCCTATCCTCATACTTCTTACAACTACCTAAAAGCTGACTGAGACTTCCTCCACGATTTTCTTTATGATGGTATTTTGGGTAAAAATCTTTCATCTTCCTGCTGACAAATGTGCTTCTTATATAACTTCGTGGATTCAGACTGGCTTGGAATCTTTTATTCTCTCTCGGCAATTCTAAGTCAAAACTCACTCTTCTCCTTGTTTTACTTCACATTGTGGTGCTGCAATTTATAATCGCAACCATTACTTCCATAATCATTGTCATTATCACCAGCAGCAGGCTTCTCTAGGCATTGACCATGATTAGAGTAATAGCATAAAAAAGGTTGTCTCATCATCAGCAGCCTTCTGCTGCTGCTGATGATGACAACCTTTTTTATGCTATTACTCTAATCATGGTCAATGCTCAAACAAGCTATCATTTCTATTGCAACAAACCAAAACTCATTCTTGCTTGGCTTCTTTTTCAATGAGTTGCATTCTTTTATCTCTTTTGTATCTCTCCCTATTTATTAAATACTGGCATAAATATATGCCAGAATTTAATAAATAGTAAATGTAAGTACAAAATTATAATATATAAAGAATTATAAATATATTTTTAGCCCCTGCTATCAACTTCTGTTAAATCTTATACTTTGGCCAGGGCCTGGGCCAGGGCCCTGGTCACTTACTAGTCATGAAATCCTGTATTTCATCTCAAAAATCAGGCTCTTGTGACTTCTACTAAAGCATAAGGTTCTACCAAAATTAGCATCTGTTAAGGTAAGATATAGTTTTGAAATTTCAATTTTGAAACAAACGAAACTATTATATTTATTAATCACTTGATAACTACCAAAATGTTTTAAATCACAAAACAGGTTTTATGTTTATTATATTAAAATAAATAGAATTACAATAAGCTTTTATATATCTTTATCTCACTTGATGATACGAGGGTGGGGGTTGATGGTGTAGAAATATCACCAAATTTTGCATCTTTTAGTTTTCAAAGTAGTTTTTAAATGCATAGCCCAGCAGTTATAGATCTGTCACAAAACCAAGAGGCTTACGGTTCCACACTGGCTCTAGCCCAATAAGGGGCATTGGTAAGATAAAAGGTAAAAACTTTTAAGCCATACGGATTTCTGGGAGCACCTTAATAACCACAAAACTCAATTCAATTATTTCAAAAATATGTTTCAAATGTGCTTAAATTTACAATTCAATTCAATAACTCAATGTAGTCCTTATTTTCAAACTCGTAAAAAAGATATAAAAACTCTAATAAATGTTTGAACATTAAAAATATGTTGCTGTATCAAACATTCAAATGGTTTCTAAAAAAAAATATATATTTCTTTGCTTCTCCTTAATAAAAACTTTTGTTTTAAATTTCAATAACCTCAAAACATAAAAGACAAAGATAGAGGAATGGATATTTGTATAATTAAACATATAAATAGAAGAAAGGATCATGTTTTATAAAAAAAGGAAATTGAAGAATAAATATATTGGTATTTACATACTTTATTGCATCCATCCGATTTTAAAAAGGTTGCTTCGCAATTCCAGCATTTGCGAACTTTTGCTAATGTCATTTTTTCTTCACTGAAAAGTAAAAAATTGTCATTTAGGAATAAAAAACCTGAACATTATTAAAATAATTGTTCTTTTTTATACTTTTAACTAAGTGAAGACACAAAAAACAAACAAAACAAAAACGAACTAACTGAACACAACTGGCTTTAAGAACAAACTAAACAAAATTAATGATTTGGATTAAGGCATAGTAGGCTGACTTTTATTATCTTTGTATAAATGTGATATTATATATATATATATATATATATATATATATATATATATATATATATATATATATATATATATATATATATATATATATATATATAAAATATATATATTTCAGGCTTTCTCAGGAAAGGTGTGTGGTCGCATGTTTGTCCACCCATAGAATAAAATTTTTAAATGTGACCGCGGCAATAGTTCGTGGGAAAGCGAAACTTATAAAAAATAATACTAAAAAAGGGAAACGAAGTTTAAACAAAGTATAAAATTGAAATTGGATGTAAGAAAAATATTTTTATAATAAAAAAAAAAAATTAACAAAAAAAAAAAAAAAAGTCTTGAAGCTTTTTTTCAAAATTTTTATACTGTTTTCTTTTTTTAGGGCTGCTATTTTCAGCTATAACTTAAAAGACTTGATGCGTAATTTATTCACGAACTTCATCAGACAATATAACATGATTCATTTGTTACGCTAGATAAATTTGGTTAAACTTTTTCATTTAATTTAGTTTTTACGAATGTTTATGCAAAGGTGATGACGTTATTCCCCAATACTTAGACAAGAAAATAAATTGCTGTTTATTATTAAATATATTATTTGAGATTTTAAACATAACAAGATTTCAATGTGAAAAAAGTTCTCTCTCGACTTATTCTAAACTGATTATACTGAGTCAATGCTCGCCTTTTATTACATTAAAATTATTCAATTGCATAATTTCGTAATTACGAAAGAAGTTAAAAAAATAATTGCATTGCTTCTGTTGTCATTGTTACAAAACAATGACAACAGAAGCAAAAAAACAAAACAGTTCCCTCGGGACACTATTATACATTAACATTCAATTAATGTAAATTAATGATTGCAAAATAAGCAACTCAATTGTTTGACAACAACATTTTCTTTCATTTGAAAATTAAATAAAAACATATTTTACAAATAAATAGCAACCGTTTTCGCGCTTTCTTGCGTATCAATACATTTAAACTTTTAAATGTATTTACGAAACATTTAAAAATTGTTTATAGTTCTATCATGAATTTTAAAGTATTACTCACTGATAAAAGTCATAAACAAATTTTACATTAAAAGATCCTTTTATTTTCTTTAAACAATAATCTTTTTCTTTTTGATTTGATTTTTCTTATTGATTTGATTTTTCATAGCTAAAATAACTACCGCCCTAAAAAACAAGAAAAAATAAATGAAACTTAGGTAAGTTTTTGTTTTAATAATAAAACGCATAATAATAAAACGTGGTCAGTTAGTCAGAAAAATTTATTCTATGTGTGGACAAACAAGGTGCACGACCACACGCCTTTCCTGGGAAAGCCTGATATATATATGTATATTCTTTAAAATTTTCATCATTTATTAGTAACTTAATCTTACACCCAAAAATGTGTATAAATATATAAAATTTAATAAAACCCATGAAAATACAAACTGTTAAAAAAAAACCGAATAACAAAGGAAATGAACTGAACAACAAAGCATGTTCTTAAAAACTAATAGAACTTGCAATTTATTTCAAATTATTAATTCCAATCATTATAATTATCAAAGCAACATGTGGATAAACTACCTGCTAAAAAAACAAACTGGCTGATAAACTACCTGCAACAACAACTTAATTAAAGTTAACCCAAGTGCACCATATTTGAAAGGGTTTTAAAAACAATATAGAAAGAAACAAGTTTTTGAATAGTAGATGTAGATAGACATTGAACAAACAAAAAAGGAAATAAGTGCAGCAGAGAATAGAAAAATAAGTGGATGTATCTCAAGTGAAACCTAAAGTTTTTATTTATGCATTATTAGCATTGATTAATGATAAAATTGTTTTGATTATTTTTAACATTTATATGAAAACACTTATTTTATTAAATGTTTTTATTAAATTTATATTTAATAAACATTATTAATCATTTTAGTTAGTATTAGTTTAGTTGTTAGTTTTTCACTTTAGAAAAAAATCAAGCATGTTGGATAAAACATAAGTTTCAAAAATAAACATCATTTAAGATAAACATCATTTTTAAATCATTTTTTTTGTTAATCTCCAAAATCTCCCTAAAGCCAATGCAGACAAGAAAGCTACTTAATTGTGGTTATAACCTTCTCTCAACTCTATAACTCCAAAACACTTGCCTTGACGAATAAGGCCGCTATGTGGTGAAACAAGTTGAGAGCGGTAAATGGGGACATGGTGGGGATTAACCAGGGGGTATGGTGGAAATTAAACTTAGAACCACTCTCTTATAAAGCAAGTGCTCCACCACTACTGTATTAAAACTCCATTTAAAACAAAAGTTTTATAAACTCCATTTAAGTCATAAACCAGTTGGCATTATAAAACAAACACAGTTAACATTATAATAACAATATTTATAAACTCATAGTAAATCATTAGACAACCCTGTTATAATAATAATGATTTAAACAAATTAGATTAAATTGTAATCAATAAATTAGTTTCTACCAACCAACTAAATCTAAATATATTCAAACCATTTTTAAAGTTACTGTTTTTTAAGTTATCTACAAAAAATCTCAAACAAATTTTCAAAATTAAAAAAATATTTCTATTTTTTTAAAGAAAAATATTAAATTCAATGTAGTGTCAACCCCTGAAATCAGGAAAAATGCATTCAACAATAATTTGCTGACCTTAATCTTTTAGAGGTCAGCATCAGATCGACAAAAAAAAATTTGATAAAAAGGTTAAGCCATAAAACAGAAAAAAGGTTGGTGATTTTTTTGCCAACCTCAAACACTTCTAGTGCGGCAGTTAGGTCAACATTGCCAAATGCCAACCCTAACTATGAGGGCTGCTGTGTATAATACAGTTTAATGTACTTTTAAAAACTGATGATAAGTAGAATACATTTATTTAGTAAACTATAATTCAAACTTTTAAACTTCCTAAATTTGAGTAACATAGAAAAAATGTTTTTAAAAAATGCAATACAATTATAAGGTTAAAAACCTTAATACAAATCGAGTCACAGTCATTAAGTTGAAATACTAAGTGTAGATAAAATATTTTCAAAACTTAACAACATTTTTTTAGGATTATTAATAATTATTAAAAGCCATGGACAACTTAAAAAATTGAATATAAAAATTTAAAGAAAAAGATATCATAACATACGTATTATAAAAAATTTCACTAATACTAATATAATATCAAAATAAAAATAACATAATACTAACACAATACCAACAATAAAAAAAGTAAATTAAAAATTTTTCAAAGGATTAACGTGCATCAACAGTTGTTTTATGAATACTCAATAAGTTTTTTATCCATAACCCAAATCAAAATTAATAATAACACATAACACAAATCTGCATTTAATCAATTGGCAGCTTTTTATTTTCATTTATCAGGTGTCAACAAAAACTTGATGTTTTTTTAAAGAAAATGTAGAGAAAAAGCCACCCTATGGGATGAGTGAGCCCCCTTCTTGTTTTGTGCTAAACTACTAACTTTTTTAAAACTATTTTTTAATGAGGTATTCGCTTATTCCTAAATAGAATATATATATATATATATATATATATATATATATATATATATATATATATATATATATAAAATGCTTATATATGTGTATATATATATCTTATACTGCTATATATATATATATATATATATATATATATATATATATATATATATATATATATATATATATATATAAGATATAGTTTTGAAACAAACAAAACTATTATATTAGTTAATCACTTGATAACTACCAAAACGTTTTAAATCACAAAACAGGTACATTTATGTTTATCATATTAAAATAAATACAACTACAATAAACTGTAAAATAAACTAAATCTTATAACATTTATACATATCTTTATCTCACTTGATGATACGAGGGTGGGGGTTGATGGTGTAAAAATATCACCAAATTTTGCATCTTTTAGTTTTCAAATTAGTTTTTAAATGCATAGCCCAGTGGTTATAGATCTGTCGCAAAACCAAGAGTTTTCGGTTCCACATTGACTCTAGCCCAATAAGGGACATTGGTAAGGTAAAAGGTGTGAACTTCCTAGTTTAATATTTTTCCACGGTACTTTGCGAGTATGCCATACGGATTTCTAGGAGCCACAAAACCCAATTTAACTATTTCAAAAATGTATTTTAAATGTGCTTAAATTTGCAATTTAATTTAATAACTCAATGTAGTCCTTATTTTCAAACCCGTAAAAAATATATCAAAACTCTAATAACTGTTTGAACATTAAAAATATGTTGCTGTATCAAACATTTAAACGGTTTACAAAAAAATACATATATACATATTTTTGCTTTTTATATATATATATATATATATATATATATATATATATATATATATATATATATATATATATATATATATATATATATATATATATATATATATATATACACATACATATATATAAATAAGCATTAAAACATCTTACTATATATACTATATATTTTGGCTTATGTAGCAAGAGCCATTATAAAATTATCTAGGAGGACCCTGGTTCCGAAATCTGGGGCAAAGTATATAATCTTAGAGTACTCATTCTAATGGACACTGGTGCCAGGTGCAGTGTATTGGATAAAACCATTTCTGAAAAAATTAAAAATCATTCACCGAACTACTACCTTATTATGGTGTTCTGAAAACGGCTAATGGAAATCTTATGCCCTATTGATGTTGGAGGTGGTATATTTGAACATGAAATGCTAATAGCTAAAGATTTAACCCATCCAGTAATTATAGGGTATGTGTTTATGAGTCAATTTACATTTGACTGGACTGGGAAATCATTTAGTTACATGAAGGAAAATTTAATGTACCTATGATCATGAAAATTATTGATGATAAATTTTCCACAGGAGAAGTTAATGAAGATACGTCGCTCTGCCATATAGCACAAATTAATAATTTTAATGAAAATAGGGCAGCTGAACCTGAAACTAGGGTTGAAGATTATTTCCTTAATAACCAGCTTAAAAATGTCATTTCGAATAGGAAAATACAACAACAAAAGATACTAACTCTGATATCTGATACACATAAAGCTATACTATCCCAACTGCTGCCAAACGACCACTGTCGATGCCCTATGGCAATGACCACAGTATGTGCCACAAAAGAAATGAAGGCTATACTGAAGTGTGAAACTATCCTGACCGTAGTACACACTCAAAAAACTGATGAGAATTATATTTTTATTCCAGAGACTAATCTCTTTGAAGAACGAGGTATCCATGCTTTTCTGACCATAACTAAAGGTACGACTAACCAAGCTACATGTTGTAAATTTGTTCTCAAAACTATTAGACGTACTTCCTCAACCTGTTTTCTAAGTGTCCCATCTGTCAACAAGTTCCAAATAATGAATGTTAAATTGCACCAGAACAAGTAGTTCAAATCGAAAATAATAGTCAGAAACAAGTCAATGGTGGTTCCAACATGAAATCGAAAAAATAAAAGACGACCAAAAAATCAATTGTCACGGCCATTTATTAATGTAAGAAAAATAATGATTTCGACTTTTATATTAAGTATGTTCCTTCTACTCATGTATGAAACTAATGGAAGTGATATCCTAACCGGTATCGGTACTGCTCTTGGAAGCGCTCTACAAGCAACGGCGAGTGGAGGAAGTCAAAATATAAAAGCAATTAGAGGAGCAATTTAAGACTCATTAAGTGGTGTCTCAGACCTAGATGAAAAGTTAGTAGGGTCAATTGGTGATGCTTCCTCATCAGTATTAACAGTCGTTGGAGGAGCAGTAAAAGATGCTTCAGAAGGTTCAGGTTCCTTTTTCCAAAAGTTTATTGGTGGTGTAAGTGGATCCATTCTGTGGGCAGAAATTTCCTATTGATAGCGGATTACCAAATTTTAAACAAGCCAAATATAAATTATGCCCTACAATGTTTGAAACAATTTAATAAAACAATGATGGAAGATACCAAGGCAAAACCACAACAGGACCAGTCCACATCAATGTCCCCTAAAATAACAAGACCTTGCATAACTGTAAATGCCTAATGCGTAAAGATTTAAAAATAAAACGTTTTGACAGTAATGGCAGGTATCGCCATTACCACCTGTGATGTTTTTCAATGGTGAAATTTTATGATGCTGTTTGGCAACGATGTTGTACAATTATGATTTCGAATTATGATTTTTAATGAAATTGCTTTACAATAATGAGTTTAATGATGTTGTCTTGCAATAATAAGTTCTATGAAACTGTTTAGGAATAAATTTATATGACTTTTTATGATGAAGTTTTAAAATGATGAACTTTGTGGTACTGTTTAGCAATAACAAATTTTTAAGTTTTGCATTTTTTATTTTAAAATAAGTGGTTATCATTTTTCTCATCATCATCACCATCATCATCATATCATCATCATCATCATCATCATCATCATCATCATCATCATCATCATCATCATCATCATCATCATCATCATCATCATCATCATCATCATCATCATCATCATCATCATCATCATCATCATCATCATCATCATCATCATCATCATCATCATCATCATCATCATCATCATCATATCATCATCATCATCATCATCATCATCATCATCATCATCATCTTCATCATCATCATCATCAACATTATCATCATGATTATTATTAGTATCATTAAATGGTTTTTATTTTTAAACTATTAAGCTTTATTAAATAAACAAGCCAAAAGCTTAACTTTTAAGCTTTTGGCTTGTTTATTTTTTATAACTCAAGCTTTTCACTTAAGATTGGTTGATTGGAATAAGGCTATTCAAGGCTCCACATCTACAACATAGTAGTACAACATGTATGTTAGATAGTACATAGTAATACAACATGTATGTTAGAAAGTACCAAAGAGCAACAAAAACAATCACAGAAATTTTAAATTTTCAAAGCATAAGCCATACGAGGAGAGGCTCAATATCTTGGACTCACAACTCTTGAAGAATAAATCAGAAAAAAAGAAAAAATCAAGATGATTTGATTAATCAAGATGATTTGATCCAGAACAATTTAAAATTGTTCTTGAAAAAAAAAAAAGAATTTGTTATACCACTGGTGAATGTGTTATTAATATTGAATTACTGCCTAGTAGCGTACAAAAATGTATATTTGTCTCATTTGCCTTGATTGTCTTTAACTTCTAACCAGCTTATATATTCAGCACATAAGTAAAAAAAGAGGCAGTTTTACCTCTTCTTATCTTTTCTTCAGTTTTACCCCCTTATTCTCTTAGGAATGTGTAATTTAAATGAAAGCATTTGAGCAGCGCAAAACATAAATTCTAATCATAACAGTACATTTTTATTTAAATGCTTTTCCAATCAACAGTGCTTAATTTATTTATAATAGTGCAGTTTCTATAATAATAAATTTAAAAGGAGATTAAAATACTACCATAATTTATCATGTACTAACATTACACAAATTAATTCAACCAGTTGAAGAATAATATATTAAGATATCTCATAGGAATAGTAATGATAGATTAAAGGAACATTACTGATGTTGATGATCTTTGAACATCAAGCAAATAATGAATTTTATTATAATAGATATAACATATGAATTTTATTATCAAGTTTTGTCAAACTTTAAAAGTAGCAGATATAACATATGCCAGATTTAGATAAATAATAAAGATATTATAATAATTTAATTCAACTATTAATTTGAAAAAGTAAGTACACCTATTTGTTTGAATAAGTACACATATTTGTTTTAACAAGTAAGTACACATATTTGAACAAGTAAGTACACATATTTGAACAAGTAAGTACACATATTTGAGTAAGTAAGTACACATAAGTTTATTTTTTATAACTCAAGCCTTTCATTTTAGATTGGTAGATTGGAATAAGGCTATTCGAGCCTCCACATCTACAACAAAAACAATCAAGTAAGTTATCAAGAAAGTAGAAGATATAACAAATATCAGATTTAGATAAATAATAAAGATTTAGATAAATAATAAAATAATATTTTAATAATTTAATTCAACTTTTAATTTGAACAAGTAAGTACACATATTTGTTTGAACAAGTAAGTACACATATTTGTTTAATATTATTGTAGTTTAGCTAATTTGTCAATTGTTTTTGGAGTAAAGTGGAAATGATTTAGTTTTCAAACAAAATATATGATAAGTAAAATATCTATATTTAACACACAGTTACCACAATATGTATCTATATTTGCTATATACTTACCATAGTACATATCTATAGCTAACACATAGTTGCTGCAATAGATCTAAAGTTACCACATAAATACCACACTAACACAATGTAAAGATATGTTTAAGAACAAATATATAACAGACTTACTATATATAATACATTACTATATATACAACTACATATATCATACATATATATATATTTACACTTACTAAGAAGTACGCAAAGAAGTTTCAGAACGATTTTCTACTTCTGCACATGGTTTTCCGAAATGCTCTTCCCAATCAACATTACAATATCTACAAACTTCCTATAAAAGAATATATACATACAAACATATATTGAAGCTATCTAAAAATAATAATCATGAGTAGTAATAATCAGGTATCACTCCTTCTTTGCACACATTTGATTTGACTCATTAAATATATGTTTGAAAACAAGAATAGGTTTTTGCACCATGTTCTTTAAAATTTGTATGCAAATTGATGTTAATATATTAATTCTGTTTTCAACTTTTTCACAATTATAACATAGTTATTTCACAATATAATTATAGCATGGTTATTTCACAAGACAATTATAACATGGTAATTTTATTTTGATAACATCATTTTTTAAGTACATTTTTATAATAGTCTGTTTAGAACCATAACCAAGGTGTTTTTTCAAAAAAATGTTATTCACCTCCCCAAGAAAGAGGGGCCACTACTTTTAAGAAGGTTGCTTTTAATATTGTGGTTACAAAACTATAGTTTTAAAACACAAAACTTGATGATCAAGGCATCAGAGAAACTACTACCACAACAATGCAGTACCACAACAATGCAGTACCACAACAATGCAGTACCACAACAATGCAGTACCACAACAATGCAGTACCACAACAATGCAGTACCACAAAGGACATGATGAGGATCAAACTCTGAACTTCTTGCTTACAAAATGGGTGTTCAATCACTACACCACTACACCACTACCACATTTAGTGACTTATTATACTATTAAAATTAAGGTTTTGCTGAGAAGTTTTCACCATTATCATTTTTACATTAATACAATGAGAAGACAATCGCAAAGCATCATTTTATCATCATTATCAATTGGCCTGTGGATAATCAGCATGAATATGAGGTTGGGTTACACATAATTGCATTACTCTAGGTTATCATTACATGGAAATATAAAAATTTATAAGTAAGTACATTTAGACTTTAGGTAACTTAACTCCAAAAAAGATTTTAAATTTCAATGACATTGATACTACCAATTATTCTTGTCATAAGAAGCCAACACTCTCTGATTGCTTGAAGGGGGCATTTGAGCTTGAAAAGAATCTCACTTTTGCTACAGCATGGGGCTCACAGTGGCTGGTGAACTTTAATTCAGATAAAACTCAATTTTTTAAATAATTTTGGCCTTCCTATATTTATGAAAAGTAATGTACTTGATAAGTCATCTACCCCTCATCTCCTAGGATTAACTCTTACTTCTGATCTTTCTTGGAAACCATATATCAAAGTTACAAAATTAGCATCTGCTAAAGTTGCATCTCTTCATCGAGCTTGACACTTTCTTACTCCCGATTCTACTCTCTATCTCTATAAATCTCAAATCCGGCCTTGTATGGAATACTGTCGCCATATCTGGAGCAGATCTTCTAATGATGCCCTTTCTCTTTTAGACAAGGTGTGAAAACACATTGTAAACATAGTTGGATCTGCTATTGCAGCCAACCTTCAATCATTATCACATCATCGTAATGTTGCTTCTCTTTCTCTTTTCTACAAATACTATAATGAGCACTGCTCTCAAGAGCTCGTTTCTCTTGTGCCATCTACTAAAATTCATTCTCATGTTACTCGTCATTTAATTAAGTCTCAACCTTTTTCTGAGACTGTTTCTAAGTGCTCCAAAAACTCTTATTGGTCTAGTTTTTTTTTCTCTAACATCAGTTCTGTGGAAATTGCTTGCTTCATCTTGCTTTCCTGATTCATATAATTTGCAAACTTTTAAGTCATCTGTCAATTGTTATCTTGCTCTACATACTTAACCTTTTCTCTTCCAGTAACTTCCAACTCTAATTAGTGATTGCTTGCAGCCTCGTTGGAAGCGAAGATGTTGAAAAAAAAAAAAAATTATTTTTATGACAACTCCAAATGTAATAATAATGACAACTCTAAATGGATTAATAAACAAAACTTTTTAGTGACAAAATAAAGGTCCTTGCTACAAAGATTTTTTTAATGACAATTTATTTCAATGAAATTACTGAATGGAGTAATAATAACAAGTCTGAAATGAAAATAATTATAAATAATAAAATAATTATAAATAATAAAATAATGGCCTTGCTACAAATGTATTATCTTGGGTGGAAGAAACATGATAACATTAAGGTAATAAAATCTACTAAATTGATCTTAACCAAATAAAAAATGTGGGAAAAAAATAGAAAATTATCTAAAGCTAAATAGAAAAATAAACAAAGCACTTGTAAATTATAATGAAAATCTTAGAAAAACCTTCTGATGGTAACCAAACTATATTAACTTGGTTTAAAAAAAAATACATTTGTCTTTTCACCAATAAATCATTTTTCATTTTTGAAGTCTAGTAAAACCCTTCTATTAGATTCAAAAAGAAAATAGAATTTCTTTCACCAGTAAACTCAATCATTAAGAAATATAATCTGATTTGTACCGATGCAAGCGCCACTGGGCAAAATATAAAAATGAAAATTATCAGTGTAATAAATAGAAATGTCATCATTAATGTAAAAACAAAAGAAATTTGTTATGTCAGCTAAACTAGATTTAAAATTTCAAAAAAATCACAATATTACAGTAAAATCTCACACCTTATCTTTTGCAACCATCTTGACAATTAGAAAGGGTATCAAAGAACAAAACTATAGAGATAGAAAAGCTCAAAAAACTTTTTTTTAACTGCAATACAAATAAAACATCAATTGCAGTTTGCAATGAAGTACAAAAAAAATGTTGATACCATATCGTGTAATTTAAATGAAAGCATTTGAGCAGCGCAAAACATAAATTCTAATCATAACAGTACATTTTTATTTAAATGCTTTTCCAATCAACAGTGCTTAATTTATTTATAATAGTGCAGTTTCTATAATAATAAATTTAAAAGGAGATTAAAATACTACCATAATTTATCATGTACCAACATTACACAAATTAATTCAACCAGTTGAAGAATAATATATTAGGATATCTCATAGGAATAGTAATGATAGATTAAAGGAACATTACTGATGAAAATTGACATTAATTGATAGCAAAATGGAAGCTTAAAGTTATTTTGATATTAATGTCGTTTGCATCCATCCACATAATTAAGAATAAGAAATAATTTCATATTTCAGCAGGATAACAAACTAAAACAAACTGCTAGAAAAACAAAGCTATATTTTGATAAAATAACTCGAAATAAAATAAATAAATCAAAACTTAAACACAATAGAGCATTTGTGGTATATTTTAGACAGAAAAATTGGTTACCAAGTAGTACTTATGTCTGTACATAGACAACAAAGAAGCTATAATGATTATAGATTAAGAGAAGAAACCCAATCTTTAGTCAACTCAATACCAATATGTTTAGCTGAGATTGTCAAGGCCAAAGGAGATCTCACTCAATACTGATTTTTATAAAATTTGGTCGATTTGAGATTATCTTAAAGTGTAAACATTTTTTTTGCTGTAGCAATTATTACTACAAATCTGATTATGGCTATATATATATTATAGCTATATATGTGTTATGGCTATATATATATGTGTTATAGCTATATATATGTTATAGCTATATACCTTTTTAAATTTATTATTAATACAAAATCAAATAAAAAACCATAAAAAAATAAAAAATAAAAATAAAAATATTAAACTATACAAAAAAGTAACAAAACTAAAAAAAAAGAAAAAAAGAAAGGCATTATACAAAAATCACTGTATAAAAGAGACAAACAAAAAGAGAGACAAATTTTTTCAAAATCTTAATGATTTTTACTATTGATATTTTAATCTATATGAATTGATAATACAAATTTTTAGGAAAAAGAAATTTAATGTATAAAAATTGATAATGCAAACTAAAAGGGGAAAAAAAAAATTCTTACTTTCATGCAAGTTTCATTTTGACATTTGAAGACTTTGTCACCATCAGGCATCTCAGCAGCAAATTCACAACCAGGACACCTGAACATAACAATAAAAACTAAAGATCAATTAAGAAAAATAAAGATAAATTAAATTTGATAATCTGATAATCTGATAAATTAAATTTTTATTAATCCCATGGTAAAATATTAGGCTTAAAAAATTGTATAGGTAACTATGTTGTTAATCACTATAGTTATAGGTATCTATAGTGATTAACAACATCGTAAGTATTAGTTAATTTATATTAGCTTAGCAAAACTATTGATTATCTAAACAAGTGAAAAATTACAGTTAATTCTGTAAAAACTAAAAAAAAAATTTAATTTCTTGCAAACATTTCTTATGTTGAATCTTTTTACTTACAAAATAATATTATTTGTATAAATCTATATGCCATCAAATTAAAAATCCAGGATGTATCTTTTCAAGTAAACATTTAAAATTTACTTTATCATTTAAAGATCCACTTATTGTGATGTAAAGAAAGTCAGCATCAGACTCCATCAACCCATCAACATCATGAGCTAATCAACATCAGACTCCACCAACCCATCAACATCATGAATCAACATCAGACTATAGTTTTTGATGATAACTCCAAAAATACACAATCCACAATTTGTGTTTTACAAAGATAAAAAGGTATAAAGTCTTGTAAGTTGGAGATTAAATTTGGTAACTGTACACATTCCTAATATTGCGATTATCAAAACCTATTTTAAAGCACCTTTTATTTAGAATATGAATTTGTTTTTTGAAAATTTGTTTTACTGATTTCTTAAAGCCTAAATTTATTAATGTATATAATTTTTAAATGATTACCTCACTAAGTTATTTAAATTTGCTAGTTTTAAATCTTCTTCCTGTACACGTTCATGGTATTTCTCAAGCTCTTTTTCAGTGAGAACCTTTTCAAGCTGACCTATTTTTGAATTAAAAATTTATCAACAACTGTTTCAACAATTAAAACATTAACTTATTAACATAAAAAATGACAAGAAAGCATACTTATACAAAAAAAAAAAAGTTTTTGAAAATAGGCAGAATATTTTATGAAAATTTTACAATTTTAAACTTGACCAAAACTTTAAACTTTCATTATTTACGCTGCAATATCATTGCAGCTATTGCTAACACAGCAACTATCTATTCACTGTATTCACTTTTGCTGGATCTATTTTATACTGATACCTGTGGTAGCACACAAGTAACAAAAAAAAATTAGATAATGTATTGAATAAAACACAAAAATCTTTTGATTTATTTATTAAGTACATATTTAACTCCACAAGACCAAACAAATGTAAAAACTTGTATTTTATTTATTATTTATGCTGATATTTTATATTTCCACTATCCCTATCTAACCTTTAGATATTATCCTTTTCAATATTACAATTCCAAAACTTTGATAACTGGCTGGTGCATAAAACTTTGATAAAATATTATAACTCCAAAACTTTGATAATTGGCTGATGGATAAAAGGCTGTTGCCACGGTTAGCATGGACCCTGAAAATGCCTACCTAGCTGACCCAAGAGCGCGACTTATACGGGAATAAAGCGTACACATCAAGGTATCTTGTGATGCAAATTTTGAAATCTTTTAATTTTGTTTGCTGAAAAAAATTTAATTTGAATATTAATTTGAATATTAATTTGAATTTTGACTCCATAGTACGCCAATAAAAACACTTGTAGAATATGAACATTTTATATAACTTGATAAAAATTGATGCAAATGTAGCCTATAGTCACGCTAAACTCTTGACAAAATTTCAGTCTGATTGGTTGACTGGTTTAGGATTTATGGCAGTTTTAGTTTAAATTTTGTCAGTTTTTTACTACTTATACCTCAAGGCGTTACCGATTAATTTGATATTCGATCACTAATTTAAAAATAATTGGTTACATTATTTTAAAATTTTTTTTAAAATAATGTCTATATAAAGCATGGTTTGAATTGGTTTATGCAAGCATGAACATATCAACATTTCCTAAGGTATAAACTACATCCAAAATGCCAAAAAATGCCAAAAATAGGTACAAAACCTGGTCAAACGACTACCAGTTGGTAAAACAAACAAAAAAGTATAAAATCTTTTCATTTCTCTTAAAATTTTTTGTATTGACTCTTGAAACCTACTTAAATACATTTACTTTCAAAATTAAGTGAAAAAATAAATATTTAAACCCAATTTTTTACATTGTATTACCATAAAATAGTATCTGATTACATTTAAAGACTTTTTTTTTTGATTTTCTCCACAAAATATATCATATTTTGTGGAGAAAATCAAAATATATCAATGTACTCTTTTAATACAAATACTCTATAATACTATTTTTAAAGATAGTGGAAATGTTCATTAAAAGCCGTATGCTATAAATTTCAGCTGCCTAATCTCTAATAACTCAAATTATTTTAGCAGTTCTTTAAAGATGCTTACTTTTTAGATCAATTGCAATGCAACAATCTTTCTTTGTACTCTGGATGAATATTGTTTTGCTTATACATAATTTAAGAAAATATTAAATTACAAATAAATAATTCTTGAATAGTTCTTTTCTTAGAAGGAAGTAATTTTAAAATTTTTTTCTTTGTTAGGAAATTACATAAATGATAATTGTCACACTTATAAAATTAATGATACTTGTCACACTTAATGACAATTTACATGAGATCTTATTTGATGAAACAGTCCAAAACCGATTCTTAATGATCTTCAAAGGACTATTCTCCCCTTCATCTTTCATATTTCACTTTTAATAAAAATTCTCTCTTTTTGTGCCTCTGCAATTATTCCAATCAAATTTTTACAAATTTTGTTTCAAAACAACCTTTCAGCCCAATTAGTTATTATGTTAGATTAATTTTCCACCGACTGGCCCTCCAAACTTTGTATCTGTCTGTTATCTTAGTTAACTTATCTAAAATTTTTAAGTCAATTATCTTAGTCAATATAAAAAATATTTGGTTTTCTCACAGTTGTTCTGTTTTATGATAAATAAATAATTTTTATTTTCTATGTAGGTATCTCTAGAAAATCTTTTCAACCATTTTTTAGAATATTTTTGCATATTGGCAGTAGTTTATACCTTAGGAAATGTTGATATATTCGCTATGCATACATGGCTAGGAGGCTTGGGGGCCATGGCCTCCCCACTTTTTTTTTCGAGGACCTTTGGTGAGAGAAATGTAGGCTCTTTTTTTAAAAATGTTGTTTTTTATTTAGAAATTAAGGAGTTGGCCGCCCTTCCTTTAAAGACCGTGTCAACTATAGTGGTGTGGCTATAGGCTACATTTGCACCAATTTTTTAAAATTATATGAGTGGTTCATATTCTACAAGTGTTTTTATTAGCGCATTATGAAGTCAAAATTTCACTCAACTTGAACATTCTAATTAAATTTTTTTCAGCGGACAAAATTAAAAGATTTTAAAATTTGCATCACAGGGTACCTTGATGTGTATTCTATCTTTCCGTATAAGTCGCATGCTTGGGTCAGCTAGGTAGACATTATCAGTATCCGTGCTAACTGTGTTGCATGGAGAAACTAGATCTCTGTTACAGAAACAATTGGATTCAACAATTTAACCTGCTTATTAATGTTATATGATAAAAAAAGTCTAGTTACAAAGCTTATAATTTAGTGGTAAGGATGGGCAGGACTGATTTCCGTATGTTTTTAACGATTAGTGTTTTTCTTGTATAACTTCGCATCTGAACCCCAAAAGATCCCAGTTATTTTACGGAACACATACAGCTGTAAAAGCGTAAGTGAAAAAGAAGTTCTAATTTTATTGGAGTTAGTGTTAGTTAAACAATGATCAAAAAACTTGGAAAGATGCCCACTATCATCAAGCATCAAGTGAAGAGGAAGAAATTCTAGTAACTGATCATTTATATCTGGTATATGTTACCATTATAGCCATATATGTATACCATTATAGTGGAGATATTCAATTTTACATAGTTTATATCTAATTTTTGTTTATACTGCTTTATTGAAAATGTTATTTTATTATTAAATTACAATAGAGCATATATATTAATTATTAATTATTATTAATGTTATTATTTAATGTTACAGATAGTTTATTATTAAATTATATTATATTATTAAATTATATTATATAAATTATATTAGTTTATATTATATCATAATGTCTCCCTCTCAGGAGAAGTATTTGTTTATATTTAATTTGTATTTAATCATAATTATACTATATAAATTATCTACCATATAAATGGAACTAATCATTTTATGATTATTCTATAAATGATTATGATCTATGCTGTTTTAGTGGAGTAATTTGTTTTCTAAAAATGTAAACCATTCTAGTAGAATTTTTCGTTTTATACTTTAGTTTATGTTTAATTATACTCTTTACTTTTATCAGGCTTTCACAGGAAGACGTGCGATTTCATGTCTTTATATGACCACGCAAAAAAAAAAATGTTTGAACGATTTGACCATGGCATGTTAAAATTTAAAAATGCGCTACAAAAACTTACCTAAACTTATTTGAAAAAAAAATTTAAAAAAATAATAAATATTAATGAAAGAGAAAATAAAAAAATATATATTTAGTTAAAGCAAAAACACACAAAAATAAATATATATATATAATGCAACTAAAACAAAACTCATCAAACTAAAATGCTTAGTCTATTTAATTTACGCATTAAAAAACCTTTTCAATCTTTGTTTCAACATTTTTATATATTTTTTATTTGTTTAAAAAGTTAAATATTTCTCATAAAAAATACATAGTTATATAAATAAAATAAAAAAACATTTTATAAATACTTTTTTTTAAATTAATTAGAAGTGTTTTTTTTTTACTTCATTAAAAGCGTTTCGATAATATAAAAGCATTTAAGATCAAACTTATTAGATTGTAACGGTTTTCTAAAACTTTTTTTTTAACAAAGTTTTGTTTATCTTTTTAAATGCATTAACTTTAATCATTCTTATATTTAAATTCATTAAAGAGACTTTCGTAGTCGTAGAATGTCATCGTTTATAAAAACAAAACAATTTTATTTTAGAAATGAACACGTTTATAAAAACAAAACAAAGATTTATTTTAGAAATGAACACTTTAACAATTTATATGTTTTAAATTTAAAAAATATACACAACTGTCATTTATACTTAAAAAACAAAACTTTTTTTCAGTAAATTGTTACTTTATTTGAAATCGTTTCCCTAATATAAAAACATTTGTTAAGAAGTTTTGATGTAATTAATTTCACTTTTTTAGAATATTTTTTATTTAGCGCGTTTCTAAAATGTTTTTTGAATTTGCCGCGGTCAAACCGTCATAGCAAAATGTAACTTGCGTGGTCAAATAAAGATGTGAAATCGCACGTCTTCCTGTGAAAGCCTGTTTTATATATAATTTAAATTTATGGAAATATTTGTTTTATACTTTTTTTGTTTTATCGCTTTTAACTTGTTTAATTTTAATTATAATTAGGGATATAACTACTTATTATTTATTTTATTTCTTTGACCAGAAATATTCATTTTATACTAAATAACATTTAATTATATTTTAAAACCGCATTATGGAGTGGTTAGCATTAAAAAATGTATACCGTAGCAGTGGAATTAGTTGTTTTTTACATAGTTTATATGTAATTATATTATATACTTAATCTAAAAATATTGTTTTATACTAAGTTAACTTTGAATCACAATTTATTCCAATAAAGTGGGGTTACTTGTTTAATATCTAGTTCACATTTAACTCAAACTTTATACCTTTTAAATCTTGTTTATGTACAGTTATAACTTATACCACTTTCTTGGAGTAATACACATTATACTTAACTTATTTAGGTTAGCACACTCACCAGATTGGTTTCTCCGGAGATTATTCTATTATATCTAAGAGCTTGGCTGTAAATGAT